AGGACTTCGATTTCGAGTGCCAGTTCCGCCCGGGTCACAAACACGGTAACGCGGATGCACTGTCACGCCTTCCTAACACTAACGACCCAGCAGACGAGCCCCATGACGCGGCCATTAACGCTATTATAGTTGCAGAACCAATCCGTTACAACTGGTCCTCAGCCCAGAGCTCTGACCCCGATACATCTGTTATCTACTACCATTTGACCCAAGGGTTATCCAAACCCAGCGAACAAGCAATGCGCGGAACGAGCCAAAACGCACGTTTGCTGTTAAACCAATGGCCCCATCTAGTCGTCCTACACGACATCTTATTCTTCCGTGATCCCTCATCCCATCATCTACGCCCAGTAGTTCCCGGCTGTTTAGTTGACACAGTGCTAGCGGACCTCCACTCAGAGTTAGGCCATTCCGGCCAGCGCCGGACAGAGCTAGCCGCCCGCATGCGCTTTTGGTGGCCGCAGCTACGCACCTCCGTCGCCCACTTCTGTCAATCATGTGCTACCTGCGCATCCTTCAAAACGCCCAGCCCCACCCCCCGAGCCCCGGTGCAACCCATGACCACTGGATTCCCTGGTGAACGCGTCGGGCTTGACATCATAGGGCCGCTCCCCATCTCCGTCCGCGGCTACGAATACATCCTTGTCATGGTGGACTATTTCACCAAATGGGTCGAGGCAACCCCCCTACTCCGACAGGATGCAACCTCTGTCGCGAACGCCATCACGCGCACATGGATAAGCCGCTGGGGCGCCCCGTTAGCGTTCCATTCAGACTGCGGCAGCAATTTTGACTCCCAGTTATTGAAAGATGTCTGCGACACCCTTCAGATACACAAAACACGTACCACACCTTACCACCCGGAAGGAAACGGCCTTGTAGAACGCACGAATCGCACGCTGCACAACCTCCTACTTGCTTTCTCTAAGGACAGCCATGAGCACGACTGGGACATACACCTGCCTTTCTGTCTCTTAGCCTACCGTGGCTCTGTCCATTCCTCCACCGGTTTCACTCCCCACTACCTATGGACCGGGCGAGACATACGCCTGCCGATTGACCTCCTCTACCCCTTACCCAGACCCGACGCAACCACCCCACACGATTACGCCACACGCTTACGCGAGATCATCCGTAGCGCACATAACGCGGCCCGGACGACCCTAGGGAGTTCATCACTCCACCAGAAAGAACAACATGACCGACATTCATCCGGCACTACGCATCAGATTGGTGATCTTGTCATGTATTACAACCCTTCACACCCCCGCGGAACGTCCGCCAAGTTCCATTACCCCTGGCAAGGACCCTTCGTTGTGTTAGACACCCCCTCTCCCACCACCCTGCTTATCCGTGATGCCATCTACCCCAACGCCCGCCCCCTTACCGCACACTTTGATAAGCTTAAGCCCTACCGAGGTCGCCTACCAACCTGCTCACCCGACTCCTTACCCATACTCCCTGCTGACCAGGGCCCCCGGTCGCTATCGAGGTCACCGTCCCACCACCCCTTGTCGATCTCAGCACTGAGGACAGTGCTCCACCTTAGGGGGAGGGCTATGTAACAGACGGAGATCTGACCAGAGACCCGACCTTGAGGTTTGAACGGACTACACTACTTTCGTTTTCTTTTTGCAGAGTCTACGCTCCGAAAGCCACGTGCCGGCGATTAACTGTCAACACACTGATAAGTCGTTCCGTTATATTATTCCGTTTCTACGTTATCACATTATTATATTCCCATTTTGCATATTACAATAAACTTATATCGTTTTGTCATTTCCGTTATCTATATCATGTCTCGTACGCCTGTGCCCCCCTCTACCACACAATCTGAAGTACAAGGTATTTTAGACCGACTTTTCCAAGCCTCCGGATCGTCCGAATTCAAGCTTCCCTCTTCTCCCTCCTTCTACGCACGTGACCCGACGTCTACTACCCGCTCGGTCGCTAGACTAGTGCACACCGAAATTCACCCAACAGGAAGATAAGTTCAAGGTCAGGCCGATATCAAAGTTCTTCAAATGCCATGAAGGACATATTATTCATGCCCCCGAAAACTACCAAACTGCAAACTTCAATTTTTATATTGTACATATCGTTATTTTTTGAAAATTTTGTTATCATTTTCCCTTAGAACTGAGGTTTTTTTAAACTTAAACAAACTCTCAATTCGCGCTCTTTTGGCTAACCAGACACCCGCAACAAACGACGTCAAAGTGCAGTTGAAATTGACGAGTTTGTTTTAGGCTTTTTTCCTGAGTTCAAAGGGGACTGACAGTGCCCAAAGCGCTACAATAAACCTATTCTATAAAAAGAAGTAAACATGGCGATAGTAATTGTTCTACAGGTAGAGTAATAGAATTATGCATGGCAGAATTAGATGCGAATGTCTGTAAAGTAGTCGAATGCGGCTAGGTAACCTTCAGATACAAATGGCGGTAGGGTAGTTGTATGGATTTCAGTAGGGGCAGGTCCACTCGCCTTCCCTACTCTTACTGAGAGAGACATACGCCTTAGGATCAGAAACAGTTCTTGTTTCAGTGACGGTAGTCGTCGTACTACCTGTATTAGTAGGTTTACCATCCGATTTACCGTAGGTAGGCAAACTTACGAAATGTCCGCCGAAATTCAATAATGCGTTTTCTTTTCGAAAAGATTCACGACGAAGGGCTGTAAAATCAATCATCATGCGAAATAATTCTACAATGATTCAGTTACCTCAAGATGCTTGCCTTTGAAAGAACTTCCTTCCGGCTGTAAGCAACAACTATACTCTCTAAAAAATGACTCCTTAGGAGGCATGCACTTTTCTCATTTATTTTCGTTGCCCTTAAGAATGCAATTATATTTCATAGATCACTTACATAAAAATATTTATTCACTTGCTCATTCGGCAGAAAGTGACGTCTTTTTTCCACTTTCATACTCGAAGACAGGTATACTTCGGTTTTCAAATACTTTCCCAGTTCCCGAATAATTTTGAATCCGGCCTACCGTAACGCTTGCATTCAGAGTCCCCAAATTACAAGCTGCATGCATTCCCGCGTACGGGAAACCACACATTTCTCTACGGCATTAAAAGTAGGCCGTATGGGGTGCATAAAATTGAGCAGGGAACTTAAGCCATATTGTTAACTTCGAAAGCCTCATTCCTATGTACAGACATGACGTTTAATTAGACGCCATTTCACAGTGTTAAAATCTTGCAAATAAAAACTTTTTAAAACCGAATTATGCCCTTCCTTCAAGCATCATATTGGAAGAAAACGTCATATCCTAACGAATGAGCGTGATAATGAATATTCTAATGGGTGTTTTTCATAAAATATATTTTAATTTTTTAGGGCATAGAAAATCAATGAGAAAAATGCATGTTGCTTAAGTAGTCATTTTTTTCAAAGTATATTTTTTGTATGCAGCCGGGAAGGAGTGCGTTTGAAAGCTGGCATCCCGAGGTAAATGAATTGTTATAGACGTACGCTGCAAGATGATTTGTTTTACAACGTAACTTAATCAGTCTTTTCGAGACGAAAACGCATTTCGGAATTTCGGTTGGCATTTCATTAAGTAGCCCACCTATCGTACTAATAGACGCGGCACCATGAGCAAACAGTTGCTGAAGTTGTACTATCACTAAGTTATTTATTGACCTTTACCTTATTTTGTTTAAAAATCGGCATCTGACTGTGTAGTCATACTGAATAGAATAGAAAAGGTTTGTTATAGCGTACCTAAGGCACTGTAAGCCCCCTTTGAACCCAGGAAAAAAACTTCAACAAACTCATCCATTTCAATCGCACTTTGACTTCATTTGTTTTGGGTGACTATTTAGCCAACAGAGCGGGAATTGAGAGTTTGTTTTAATTCAAAAAAACCTGAATTCCAAGGCAGAATAACCGCAAATGTTTTAAAAAAGAACGACATGTACAACATGTAAATTAAAATGTACAGCTTGGTAGTTTTTTGGGGGCATTAATAATATGTACTTCATGGGAATTGAAGAACTGTTATATCGGTCGAACCTTGAGATTATTATCGAGTTGAATAAATTTCGGTGCCTTCTAGTTGCCGGTTGTATGTCTATTCGGCCAACTGCTAAGGAACGGTCGCAGAGTTCGTTCGTGTTTTGCAGGAGGCTTGCCATAGTTGTCTGGACCAAGGGCTGATAGGTTACCCCAATCAGTTGTCTTTCAAGGTACACCTATGGCTGAATGTACCACCACCACCACCACCACCACCACCACCACCACCACCACCAGGGATTCAGGTTTAAGCTACACACTTAATTTTATCTCTCGCCACACGCTGACAGAATTACAGTCAAAGCTGCCCAGATTTGTGGCTTTATCTCTTATAATTGCTATCTTCCTCAAATTAAATTAAGACTCTATCGTACGTATGTACTTCTCATTCTCGAGTGTTGTTGCCCATTCTTTGATTTGGTGAACGAGGCTGTTCGTTTAAAAATTGAAAATGTCCAAAGACGTTTAACTAGAAAACTTTTGGGCCCGGGAAATCCAAATATCTCCTACTCAGATAGATGCCAATAAATTAACCTAAACTTTTCATGAGTCCGACGACTATAGGCAGGCTTCTGTTTCCTCTTTCGCACAAATAATAGTTCAAATCTCCCTCGGATTTCAACACTTAACCCTAGTAGTTTCCCATAAATCTTCGCAACTCCTCCCTGATTGTACCTCCTCCAGCTTCCTCCATCTCTAAGCGCTCTCTTTTTCTCGCTGCCAGGTATGCTTTCCTCTAGAATAACCTTCAAATAAATATAAGGTCTTCAGATAATTTACACAATTTTAAAAGAAGGCTGCGCCTTTATCTGAATACTGACTTGATAAAACGTTTATTTTCCCCATCCTTCTTGGTCACCTTTCTCCATGGCACAGAGAAAGGGTCACCGGCAATTTAGGACGGCGCTGTAACGTCCGACCTCAAAAAGAGTTCGGTGGCCGAGAGCTCACTCGCGTTCTTATGGGCTGCCTGGGACGGAACGTCGGAAACTGGATGTTATGACCCGCCTGGTACGTGAAATCCTGTGGAGCGTATGCGCACTCGACCCTTGTCCCCAATACCAACGCGGCAGAGAAGGAGAACGCGACCGGCCACGAAACTGTGTATTAGGAAATTGCAAGTCAAAATGAACTGGAAGTAACGCGTATTTATAACGCCTTACGGTGCTTCGCCGGCGTTCGGCCCAATGCCCTTCGGGAAGAACATTCGAGACGAGCCGGTCGATAATTCGAATATGCTGATCGATCAGGCCCGCGAGGAAAAGCCAATGGAGAGGCGCCACGATTAAGATGACAGCGCAGTAGAGAAAACGCACGTGGCCTCCCGTGATTGGCTGGCTCTTGTTCTTGGGAGTGTAGGCACTCCCAACACCTCCCCTCCAAGTAGGTCAGTACCGCTTCTGGCGTGGGTTGACCTGCATCAGACGTGTTGATCGGCGCACGCGGTTGGTCCGGCGCCTTAGTCGTGGTTTAATGCCTGGAGATACGGGAGCGGTAACTGATACCGAAGATGGTATATCCGAATGGGGCGCAGAAGTGGGTTCGGGAACCGACTGATCTGCCGGAATGGCGAAGGTATCCAGTAGGATGTCGAGAGAGAGTGACGGCGCCGAATCGAGCCCAGTTGTGTTACTGCAATGTCGCCGTCGGATCTGGTTGTGGTGGCGAACCCAGATGTCATCACCAACGTCGACGTCAAACAACATACTGCCTCTGTGCGATACTACGGTTGCTTCAATCCAGTCTGGGAACCCCGCTCGATAATCACGAACGAAGACAGGTGTTCCGATGGAGAGATTGCTGCGAGAAACTGGAGAAGTCTGCGCGAGCTGCGCACCGGTAGGGACGAGGGCATGAAACGTTGTACGCGGTTTTCGGCCCATCAACGCTTTGGCAGGAGAAACGCCACCAGGGGACGCCGGGTTCGGTGTCGTCCTGTAGGAAAACAGGAACGCCTGGACTATCTCGTCCGTGGTCCCCTCCCCACGAGCTTTCAAGAGGGCTCTCTTAAACGTGTCGACAAAACGCTCCGCCTGACCGTTAGACTGAGGATGGTAGGACGGGGAGCGAAGATGCTGGATGTTGTGCTGGCGGCAGAAATCCTCAAAAGACGACGATGTAAACTGAGAGCCATTATCTGAAACCAGGATTTCTGGTAAGCCATGCTGGCTAAAGATGCGTCGTAGGAAGGCGATAGTGGCAGATGCGGTTGCTGGATTCAGCGGAGCAATCTCGGGCCATTTCGAGTAGGCGTCAACCAAGATTAGGTAGGAGACTCCGTTAAGTGGGCCACCGAAGTCGATATGCACGCGTGACCAAGGCCTCTCCGGTGGTTGCCAGGGTATTGGAGGTTGACGAGGCGGCATCTTGGCAGCTTGCTGACATCGAGAACAGCGTCGAACCAGGTCGTCGATGTCGCCGTCGATACCCGGCCAGTAGGCAAAACTGCGAGAAATAGACTTCATTCGGCTGGCATCAGGATGAGCCGCATGGAACTGGCGTAGTACAGTGGGTCGGAGGGAAGATGGGATCACCACACGGTCTGCAAACATGAGGCAGGAGTCAACCACAGATAGCGATGCTCGGCGGAGGAAGAGCTGGCGAAGATCGCCAGCGAGAGCAGTGGTTGGCCAGCAGGTCTGCACGTAGGTGATGGCCTGGCGGAGGACAGGCTCCTGTTCAGTAGCACGTCGGATGTCCGCGGCAGTGACAGGGATACCTCGTATAGCGTCTGATAGCTGACGGCGCACACCGTCCTCAATCGAAATAGCTGCAATCACGGTATCTTCCTCCGGTTCCTGCTGATTGCTGATGAGGCGAGAAAGGGTGTCAGCCTGACCAAAGTCTGTAGTACGACAGTAGCGAATGTCGAAGTCGTAGCCAAGAAGGATGGTTGCCCATCGCTGAAAGCGGCTGGCTGAGTAGACGGGAATGCCCTTTTTCGAACCGAAGATTGACAGCAATGGTTTGTGATCCGTCAACAACGTGAAGTGGCGACCGTACAACAGTTTGTGAAATTTCTTGACGGCAAACACGAGGGCTAGAGCTTCTTTCTCTATTTGCCCATAGTTCTTCTCCGCAGGGGTTAGCGTGCGAGATGCATGCATGATCGCCTTTTCAGACCCATCAGGAAAAGTATGTGAGATGACGGCACCAACTCCGTGGTTGGAAGCATCTGCAGCAACAACGATCGGCAGCGTCGGGTCGCAGTGCGTGAGCAACAGATCTGAACTCAGCATCGACTTTAGCTGGGCGAAGGCCTTTTCACAGTCGGGGGACCAGCACCAAGGAGCATCCTTCTGCAACAGACGGTTGAGCGGGGCCCGTACGTCATGCAGCGATGGTAGGAAGGCGCTATAGTAACTGATCAAGCCAAGGAACGAACGAAGTTGCGATACATTCTTGGGGGCAGGCATCCGTTGGATGGCCCGAATGTTTTCAGGATCTGGATGGCGACCATTGGCGTCAAAAACGAATCCAAGGTACTTGATGGAGTCGAGGAAGAATTGGCACTTCTCGGCCCGTAGGCGAAAGCCATACTCCTGCACGCGTTCGAGTACTGCGCACACTCGGTCTTGCAGCTCGGCAGGGGAGTGACCCACGATGATGATGTCGTCCAGGTACCCAGCTGTGCCAGGGATGCCGGAGAGCATTGCGTTCATCGTTTGTTGAAATAGGGCCGGGGCGGTCTTGACACCAAAGGGCAGCCTGGTGTATTGGAACAGACCGCGGTGGGTGTTGATGGTCAACAATTCGTGCGACTCTGGGGCGACCTCGATCTGCAGATACGCGTCAGCGAGATCCAACTTGGCAAAGCAAGTGCCACCATTCAGCAGGGTGAAAAGATCAGCCGGAACCGGTAGTGGATATCAGTTCGGCGTCAGTGCGGCATTGAGACCGGTGGAGAAGTCAGCAAAAATGCGGACCGAGCCATTGGGCTTCTTAACCACAACGATTGGAGCGGCCCAGGCGGAGTAGGATACAGGAACCAGAACTCCCAATTCCTCTAGACGCTTCAGTTCAGTCTCGACAAGTGGTAGGGCTGCATATGGGACTGGTCGCTTTGGACGGAAGACTGGTTGACTTCCAGGAGACAGATGTAGCACGGCTTGAGTGTATGTGCAACGACCAAGGCCGTCTTGGAACACTGGAACAAAGCGTTGGAGAATGTCCTTGGCTTGGTCTGCAAGCACAGCGCGAATCTGCACCTGACTGCAAACAACGCGGAGCGGCATATCGGCCAACCCAAGTTGTTCAATCCAGTCGAGACCAAGTAGGTTTAGATCAGACTTGGTGATGTAGCAGATCGCAGTGATGCTGGTACCGCGGAACGACACACAGCATTGCAGCTGCCCAATTAGCTGTACGAGACCACCGCACGCGCTTGTGGCGGACTGGGAAGTCGGCTGCATCGTGGGGCTGCCAAGGGACTGCCAGAGTCTCTCAGAGATGATGGTGATATCTGAGGCAGTGTCCAACTGTAGACGAACTGCATGGCCATTGAGCAAGACACCAACAAATTTTCTACGACCAGACGCATTGAGCTGGAAAGCGGCCAAGAGACTCAGAGAATTACCAACGGACTGGAGTTTGGACTTGCGTTTTGGCCGGAAACGATGCCTGGAATTAGGAGTGGCGGGGGCTGGCTTGCCTACAGAAGCTGGTACTGATTTGCAGAACCCATCACGGTGTCCCACCTGATTGCAGCTTTGGCAGCGATGCTGGCGGAAAGTGCAATCCCGGTGGAAATGCCACGCGCCACAGTGCTGACAAGGAGATGGCGGAGATCTCGACTTGGACACTTGCTTGGGCCGTGTAACAGGATGCGATTTGGTCGATGTGACCGTATGGACTGAGAAAGATAAGGCCGGGTTCTGAATCATTGCAGAGTCGTGCTTGAGATTGATCAGTGTTTGGCACTCTGCTGCCAGCTCTTGGAGTGTGATAGAGTTGCTCTGCTGCACTTTTACCAGGAGACGTGTCCGGATATCAGCATCCTTGTGGGACTGAAGGCCGCAGATAAATATAAGGCATTTAAACTGGTCTTCAGTAAGAGAACCGAGTTGAAAACGCCCAAACTCACGATTGACAATGCCCGCATACGTGATGAAATAATCGGAATCGCGTTTGCACAGCTGCAGGCACTGAAATCGAGTGTTGAAAAGGGATGATTGATCACCAAAAATCTGCGACAACGTCTCAACCGTGTCCTTGAAAGTGACCTCTCGGGGATTCTTGGGGAGGATGAAGTTTGCATAACGCTCTTGTTCAGCCGGACCCAGTTTGCGAAGTAGGAGTCGAACCTTCCATGCATCGTCCTGGGCAGCCAGATCGACAGAAAACAAGTCCTCGTATCGCTTGTACCAGGAATCAAAGGTGATATGGGCCTGCGGGTCATACAGGAATTCAGTGATGCTGCCGGCAATGTGATCAACAGATTGTGAACCACCAGCCGCGCTTGATTGGCCCATGGATGAATTGGATAGCTTGACGGTCAGAACCTCCATCAGCTTCAGCTGCTGCTGCAACATCTGCTTCAAGTCTGCGTACTCTTCAGCCATTGTAGTATCTCACCTGCGTCGCCAATTTGTTATGACCCGCCTGGTACTTGAAATCCTGTGGAGCGTATGCGCACTCGACCCTTGTCCCCAATACCAACGCGGCAGAGAAGGAGAACGCGACCGGCCACGAAACTGTGTATTAGGAAATTGCAAGTCAAAATGAACTGGAAGTAACGCGTATTTATAACGCCTTACGGTGCTTCGCCGGCGTTCGGCCCTATGCCCTTCGGGAAGAACATTCGAGACGAGCCGGTCGATAATTCGAATATGCTGATCGATCAGGCCCGCGAGGAAAAGCCAATGGAGAGGCGCCACGATTAAGATGACAGCGCAGTAGAGAAAACGCACGTGGCCTCCCGTGATTGGCTGGCTCTTGTTCTTGGGAGTGTAGCCACTCCCAACACTGGAGCTTTCTGTCCGGTTTGTGCACCGTTAGGATCGTCTTTCCAAGTGTTTATTATCGAATAACAATCTTCAAGCGCACGATAAGTCGCGTAATACACCAAGGTTTATTTGAGGAGGGAAAAAAGGAACGTAGAACGAGGGGCAGAAAAGGGGGATCTATTAGTCCAACAAAACGTTAGTTTCACAGTTGTCCAGGGAAGGTGGAGTTGGGTGCTGCCACGGGGGAGGGGGAGTCGTCTTCTTCACGCACCTCGACTGAAAAACAAACAAGAGAAAGCACACAGATAGTGTACAGACACCAGACACCCTTGCTCTCAAACTTAGCGCCCTTGGCTATTAAAACAACCGTTCATGTCTGTCTGCTACAGCGCCATTCAGTTACCGTCTGCGCTCACATTTTCTTCCTTTGTGTGCAGTATCGCTCCCTAGGATCCCTCATCAGAAATGTTAATTTGTTCGGTTTTTCAGTTAATGCATAGTGTCCCCCACAGAATGCGCTCGATCGACGCTCTTGGTGGAACATTCTGTAATCGCCAAATACTAGTATTCTGGTCACATCTACCTTGTCCTCTCCTCGGATGGACTCGGTTGGCTTTAACCGATCGCATCTGGGTTTCTATCGCCTTGAGAGTGGTTTTCTACTCATGAAATCCGTTATACAATGCCACATACAGGTCGGCCCTGCCTGCTTTTTATACATTCATGAGGGACAGTTTTTTCTCCTATAGTGCTAACCCAGTCATACTCACTTTGTTTATATCTTGGAAGTTTTTACTGCTCGCTCATCATTCTTCGTAACATACTACCTATTCAGTAACTATGAATTAAGTATGGTAAAAATTCTGTACATCTGTTCTAAAATTCTAAAATTCATGTAAAAGTTATTCTTACTAGTTATGAAAGGCACTCCACGGGCCTTGAATAAAAATTATTATTATGCCGTCTTCCGCCGCAAGCTTCCTGCCTAGGCGGGAATTTTGGCGGCGTAAATTAATCAGGTCGCGCTATACATACTTAGTTTAAACAGTTGGGTGACTTGACACTTGGTTCTGGGTTCAATATTTACATTTCGAATGTTAAATTACTCTCTAACGCTATTTTGCTTGTTAATTAATTAATTATTTTATTAAAGACCCGTCGGGGTCCCATCAAAGCAAGTAAAAATAAATTTACATGCAAATTTTAGACGATGTAGGCAAAATCTGCACAAAGTGCAATGCATAGTTTTTGAGATTAGAAGTCCGTTAAGCAAAATGAAAATGAAAAAAAAACGAGGGGTGAAAAAAAACTCCAAAGCAAGATTTAAAAATGATTGTAGAAATTTACAAGGAGAAAAAAAATACCCCTCAGAAAAATAGCATCAGAAAAAAAGGGAGGACTGGCCTGCATGTGGCGGTACAAAATGGAATAAAGCCCGACATCAACATGGCCGAAATAGATGTCAGCTGTATATGGCATTGTGTAACGGATTTCATAAAATGGTACGTAGGCGGGTCGGTCAGGACTGGCCTGTATCGCCTTGAATAAGAAAAATAAGTGCCGAAATTGAAAACCAGTCTCAAGCCGATAGGAACCCAGATGCGGTCAGTTTCATTCAACCGAGTCCATCCGAACATGGGGGGAGATGCGACCAGACTACTAGTATATGGCGAATATAGAAGGCTTTGACAAGACCGCCGATGGAGCGCATTCTGTAAGGGCATGATGACAACCAGTCTCGAGGCGACAAGAACCCAGATGCGGTCGGTTTCATTCAACCGAGTCCATCCGAACATGGGGGGAAGGGAGATGCGACCAAACTACTAGTATATGGCGAATACAGAAGGCTTTATCAAGATCGCCGATGGAGCGCATTCTGTAAGGGCACGATGACAACCAGTCTCGAGGCGAAAAGGCCCCAGATGCGGTCTGTTACATTCATCAGAGTCCATCCGAGGATAGGGCAAAGGAGATGCGACCAGATTACTAGTATATGGCTAATATAGAAGGCTTCGCCAAGAGCATCGATGAAGCGC